CCGGCGCGCGGCGGGCCGCACCTCGCCGCGACGGCTCTGGCGCAGGGCGGGGACGGATCAGCGCTGCGGGAGACCTGCCTCACTGCTCGTATATGGCAAAGTTTCTCGCCGAGCTCCTGGGCTGCACGTTGCCGAGCAAGGGCGCCTCTCCCATGTTTGAGGTAGGTGGAGGGTGTGTCTCCGCAGCCACGCCGTCTGCGGTGGCGGGCGACCCCTGACTGGCCGCCCTGGGGTCCCCAGGAGTTGACAAGTGAGCGGCCTCATTGCCCGGTTTCCACCTGGGCATCTCGGGTGGGGCAAGGAGAGGATGAATAGGAGATGGAAGCCAGGGAGCCCGGGATCTCGCTGCCTTGCACCTTAGTGGATTTTTTTTTCTCCTCTAGTTGACAGGGTGAACACGTTTTCTGTCAACCCGAACGAGTTTGCCAGTTGCTCTCAGCCTAAAATGCCAGGAATGACGGAAAAGGAGCTATATCCACCAGTCTCATGTACTGCCTACTTTGTGTCTCCCTTCTTCCTTTTCATCTGAAAATCATTACCAGTAAAATCTTCAGGGCAGGTGGTTTCTACCTTCCTGCCCCCGTCAATCACTTCCCTCCTCTAGCGTCCGGTATCCTTCAAACTCCATGGAAGTTAACTCATTTCTTCTGTGAGGGACATCCTTTAGGGATGGAAAGGGTTACCGGCAGGACTTGGCCAAATCAGGTGAACAAATGGCAGTTCTTAGGGCAGGTACCCTTAAGCGCTCACACCTGCCTGGCCCCGCAATGCTGCTGCTGTAAGCATCTCTGCGAGGTGAACTTTATAAAAAGCCTGGGCTGCTTGTCCTCTTGGGGGGAGATTAGGGGCCATTGACTGTTTTATAGGAAACCTATATTGGCCATCGAGTGGGACAGTTTCACACTGTGCAGCCCTACTCATCCCAGCTCTGTAGTGGAACAGAGTATCTTTTGTCTCTGTCTACTCCTTTCCAGCAGACTGAGTGACAACTAGGCCTGGACTCGCAGGACCTTGATCATGGCCAAGTTCACGAGTGCTGCAGTATGTGCGTGCATAGCACTCCTTACTCAATTCTAGGGCCTGACAACTTTCCTTGCCAGTCTCAGTGTTACTCCAGGAGCTGCCTCAGCTCTCTCTGTCTGCAGTGTTCTGATTGGCAGGAGAGAACTTTCTCTCTTCTCTCAGGAGGCAGGATTGTCCTTTAACAGGCAACTCACCCTTTAGGATTCAAAATCTTGTCTCTGCTGGTGAGTCTTTTCTCACCGTTAGCAATTGTAGGTGGTTTTAGCTTTTTCAGTTTCTGTATAGTCACAGTGCTTTGACTTTGGAGCTCAGGTTGCTCAACCCATAACACTTCTTTTCGACAAAATGGCTTGAAGCAGCGACATCCTAGTAATGGGTGATGAAGAGGAGCTGGGAAAACACGAGCAGACTGGGAGACATAGCTGTCCTTATAAATGACTTTGACTTTTTCTTTCCTTAAATTTGAATTTTGGTATTTAAGTCACCAATAGTGATGCCAAGCGATTTTGGTTGTAGGTGTTGCCTTTTGTTTGTATATTTCTGCCTGTTTTATCCTCTTCCACTTTGATTTCTAAGAATAAATGGTTCACAGGAGGGCTGATAGACAGGGACATAATGAGTTAAGAAAATGAATGATTGTTTTGTCTTTGAAAAGCCCTGGGAAAGGGAATTCCCTCTGTCCTTGGCAACTCCTTATATCATGCTTTGTGGTATTTTCTACCCCTCTAGAGGCAGGGGTATAGCATCACCTTTCTATATTGATTGATTTGTTGTTGAATAAATCAACCTAAAACACTCCACCCAGGTATCACTTTTAATCAGTGTTGATGGGAAGAGTTAAATGATTATTCCTTTCCTACCTATGGGGAAAATCACTGTCCGAAGATATGACTAACAAGGATGTATTTGAAGGATGCTTTCTTCTCAGTCAAAAGCCCCTTCGATACATGTTCTAATACATGAACAGGCAGTTGTTGAACTCTGTATGGGAGGGGAGATGTATAAGAAAGATGTTCTTAGACCTTTCTAAATACTCATTGCCTAAAAGTGAGATTGTTTGGACACTAGGAAAATATAAACAGATCTTCAACTTCACAAATGCTCCAATTGTCATTTTGGAGGTTACCTTTGATCTCAGAAAAATCAGGAGAAGAGATAGATGTTTTCATAAGGATGGCCTTTCATTTCATTTTGTTGTCGCTAAGAATGTAGTTTCTTTCTACAAGATTCAATTAGGTTTGCAGAGAGGAAAGGAGTTCTGAGTCTAATAGGACCTCCTGTGTGTTTGCTGTTGTCTGGCAAGGGAGAATGCGTCACAGGTTATGGAAAAATGGGCAGAAAGAAACCACTCCAGATGCTGTGTCATCTTCACAGGCTAAGGGTGGTGCACATTTGAAACGGTGTATCATTGATCATTTTGTTAACTTTTCCTTTACTTCTTCTCTAGGAAAGTATTTAAGTTTGCAAACCAAGATAACAATTCTAATACTTCAACAAAAAAGCACAAGAACAATAAGTGTACTTCAGGGTCACGGCAGTGCTCTGAGCACTGAGCTAGATTTTTGCAGTAGTCTTTGTGCCACACCAAGGCAGAGCTCCCAGAGAGATAGTGGGTTTGCTGGGCCTTCCAGGCCCAAAAGGTAGGCAGACATTCTGCACATGGGAAGTAGTTTCATACCTAGCAGGTCCTATAAAATGTGGTCTGTATGCTTGGCTGGCTAGTGGAGGGTCTTGCTGCCCATCCTTCCCTTTAAGCTCTGGCATGTTATGAACCTCCTACCTCCTCCAGCCTCTGTGTTGCTTTGTATCATGGAGCCTTGGTGTTAATCAGTGAGGGGTTTGCAGGTCAGGAGGTGGCAGAATTAGAGACTCAGAGGGATTGTTTTTTCCTTTCCATCCCCACTATCCTCTGTCTGCAAATATTCACTTGGATCCTGCCATCCTTCCTCATCTGATCTTGTGTGGCACGTCTCAGGAGCCACACATTTTGGGCAGAATGCAGCTCACTGTTTACTGCCATGTCACTACTCATGGATGTAGTGACTAGAGTTATCAAGCCTCTGTATATTCTACTTTTTTCTACATTCTGTTATTCTGTCTCCACGAGTGTTATTGCCTAATTGCAACTATAAGTTATGCAAAATATGTAATAACTATCATTTATTGCCTACTCTGGCCAGATATTGTGCTAAGGGCATAATGTACATGGTATAATCTATTCTTCTAATAGCCTCATGATACAGCTTTTAATAACCATCTTTCACAGATGAGAAAATGAAGGTTTAGCGACTTGAACTAATTTGCATAAGGTCACACTGGTAATGTGTGCTAGAGTGAGCATCTCAAAGTTCGTCTGTTTCCTTTGACTATGTTTATTGTTATTTAGTTTTTAGTTTTTTTGTTTTCTACCTCAGCTTTATTCCTAGATATACGCTTTTTCCATTGGAAGAAGAAAAGGTAAACTTCACTTTCTTTCATTCTTTTACCCCACAGTATTACCATCGAGATGGCATGAATACTTCTGGGAATCTCAGTCAAAAGCTGATTGAATTCAGAGGAATTATTGAGGGAGAAATTTAAATTCATTTGCCATTACCTATTAAGAAACTTCTATCTGTAGCTGTTCTTATAGATTGTGCTGCTTTATTATTTAATAATAATAGAAGTGAAGAAGCCAAACAGAGCCATTACATGAATTAGCCAACCTACATCCCTTTAAGGGTCTGAATCTGATTTCTCAATGTTTTTTTCAGCCAGCCTCCTTTACTTACCTAATCTTTTCCTGGCCTCTGATTTCTGCTTTACTTGTTCTGCCATTCAAATTATTGCCCAAATCATCTTCCTTAATAGTTCAACTCAGCAGAGCCATTTACTCACCTGCAGTGGATCACCATTTCATAATGATTCAGCAGAGTATGCAGATCCCCTCAACAGTGTGTTCACTACTTAATTTTCTTGCTTGGTCTTCCCTTCCTTTGGTTACATCCCTAGCATTCTAGCAGTGATTGTCTACTGGCATTTCTTCATCATGTCTTCTTACCTCCTTGCTGTCCTTCTGCCTGGAATATACTTTCTCTAACATTCAACTATTTCTTGTGATCACCCCTGTCTTTAAAGTTCAACTCAAATCTCACCTCCAGATCCTTCCCCTTGGACAACTTCCAGTCCTCTATCACAGGTGAGGATTAAATGGATTAATGCCTTTTTAGTACCTAGAAATAACATGAAGTGCTCAGTACATGGTCATTGATGAGATCCTTTTCTCTGTGTCTGATCTCTTTAGCATCAAGAACTAAGTATTTTTCCCTTCCGCATCACCTGGAGTATTTTGTACATAGATTTATGTCAAATAAATGTCTGATGGGTTGATTCAATCTTCCATCCCCAATGGTTCATGACTTTCTTTGTCTTTAAAATTTTTGTTTGTCTGAAATTCATATTTAACTGGACACCCTGTATTTTCATTTGCTATATCTGGCAACCCTATCTTCCCTGTGCCCTTCTCCCCTCTGAACCCAGCTCTTGTGATCCAATCCTAATCTGCTATGGAAACCTCGTGCCCATTCTCCTCTCTGTATAGACCCTCCTTTCTCAGGGTTGTCCCAGACTAAGGGCATCTCCTGTAAGAAATTGCAACAGGTCGGTTCTCTGTCCCCATTGCCTCACTAGAATGGGAATGTCATAGAAACAAGCTTTCCAACTCAAGTGTTGGGGGCATGAATGAGACATGTGTATTACTAGCATCCTTTTTGTTCAGTTTTCTTGTGATCACTAGCTCATTCAGCCATTCATTAGCAAACATCATGAAATGCCAACTTTGTGCTAAGACCCCCATAGAAACCTTGCTAAAAGATATTCAAATTGTTTTGACTGTGACCCACAGTAAGAAATATATTTTATATTGCAATCTTGAATGCACATAGCTAATTATACCTATAATATTGAAATTAAATTGCATAATACTTCTCCTATGACAGGGGATGTACTGTGATCCTTTCAATTCTTTTCTTTCATTCCATTAAAAATTAACTTGGAAAGACTCACTAAATTGATTTCATGAGCTGTTACCCACAATTTTAAATGTATTGCTATATAGAATAGAAAGATTCTATTTTTATAGAACAATTTGTATTACCTCATTATTCCAGTCCCATACTTGCATGTTATTACACTACACATTAGGAGATCCTTGTTTTATCTTGGGAAGCCAGTCACCATGCATAATGTTATTTTTTAGGTGAAAACATTTTCAGGGTTTCAAACAACTAACTTACTGAATCACATTTGACAAATACCCTGCCTTTAAATTGGTTAAGAGGTTAATTTAAGCATGTAACCAGAGTATATTTTATGACATGGTTTTAATTTTGAATACTGTACCCAAATTTCAATTTATTTCTCTCTGCATCCACTAACAACAATTGAGCCCCCATTTATTGACACTGCATTTTACACTCCACACAACATTTTATTTATTTCCTCAGTTTTATATTTTAGTTGACCCCATCTCTTCTTCATTCAGGAAGTTATACTTTTTTTTTTTCAAAAAAGATTTATTTATTTATGCATACAGAACTGGGGTACAGGATAGAGGTGCAGGGGTGGTGAGAGGATTCACCAGAGACAGAGTCGGGAGCAGAACAGGCCGACTGACCAAGTACACTTCTGAGGGGAGCAGCAGGCTTGTCAGGAGAGGTCTGATGCACCATGTGGTCACCTCTGGGGCAGGCAGGGATCAAACTCTTGTGGAAGTGGCTTTAGCTTCTTAGTGCTGCACTTTAACCCGCTGCACCACCAGGTAGGGCCAGGAAGTTACACTTTTAAGCAGTTTTTCTCTCCTCAAATTTGTGTGTTGAAGATCTTGAGTTTGTCCATGAAAATGAGTCTCCTTTTAAAAATGAATCTTAAAAACTCTGATCTGCTTGGTCTTTCTGATTGGCTTCAAGCATATGAAGAATGAGCCATGTGGTCAGGCTGTTTTGAAAGCAAATAACAGGGACAAGCATGACTGTAGCTTCAGTGATTGAATGTTGGTAGATGATCATAAGGCAGAAGTTTACTTTGAGAATAATAGCTCCTGTTGCCACAGCTGAGGAGCTGAGCTTTCTATGAAGGTCATTTGAATTTTAAGCTAATGGACACTGTGCTCGTCTTGTAAATTCACAATTCAGCTTGTTTTGAGGGCCAATTGAATTGCTCCACCACATCTGAGCCATTATATACACACAGGCAACTCTACTTACCTTTTGTGTTAGCTGCTTTTAAACTCCGCATGTGGTCCTAAATGCATGCATTTCATTTATAGTAATATTTGGTCCCATTATGATTACATCTGTCTAGTGGCTTCTTGCTGAGAAACCCTTACATGATTTTTTTTTCTTTTTTGTACTTTGAAAAGGAAAGTCTGGTGTTTCCTCTCTGTCAAATGGCTGGTGTTGACTGCATGCCATAGGGAGCAGGGGTAAGAACTTCACTCTGATTTATTTCCTTTTCTTAGTTCTTTTTAATTTGTAATGCTGTTCTTGTATATTACAAGTTTCTTTATTTTGCAAATCCTTGATTGAATATTATAGGTCCGTAGTGATATTTCTAAAAGGAAAGTTCTAGTACTTCGAGTGCCTACTGAAAAGGCTCATAAGTAAATGACTGTTGTGATGAGTGGTGCTGCTCTCCACTTTGGAGAGAGTCTTACATGTATTTTGACCTGTTTCTCTAAACAGCTATAATATATTGACGGCATTTTTTTAAAATAAAAGATTCATTTACTTATTCATAGAGAACTGGGATATAGGCCACAGGTGCAGGGGCGGTGAGAAGATTCACCAGAGACAGAGTGGGGAGCAGAACAGACAGATTGACCAAGTATACTACTGAGGGGAGCAGTGGGCGTGTCAGGAGAGATCTGCTGGGCCATGTGGGTCACCTCCGGGTATGGCGGGGATCAAACTCTTGCAGAAGTGGCTCTAGCTTGTGTTAGAGGTTGTGCTTTAACCCACTGTGCCACCAGGGAGGGCCAATTGACAGTATTTTGATCGCTTCCAAACCTCAACATTTCAGATCTAAATGGAGGATTCACATCCTCCCACCAGAAATCCCTTTCTTTCCAACTCTATCAGCAGCCACGAGTACCACATCTTTTCCCCTGGAATAGTACTGTGGTGCCATCTCTGTGTCCTTTCTTTTTCCTTCAAGAGCAATCTGGCAGTGACTCCTGCAGATTCTCTCTTGGATTCTACCTTTCTTCCACCACCCACCACAAGTTTTCATCCACAGACCTGACAAACATCTTTTGAGTAATAGTACCCAATTTATTAATTCTTCATGGAGCAGTAGGATCTATAGGGAATTCCACACTAAGCCACTAATTGGTTTGTTTCCCTGCAGTCTCCCTGCCTCCACTCTTCCTGAATATGCCGCACGGTGCCTCTTCACCCCCCTTCCTGCCTGAGTCTGCATGACTCTATTGCCAACGGCCTCAAGCCTCTAAGTTCTTGTAGGTTGTTTGCAGTGGATTCTACTAAGTGTTCTTACCCTGTCTAGCTCACTTTACTTCCTGCTGTTGATTTTCTTTAGGAATTTTCACATGGCAAATACAAATTCTTCTTCTTCTTTTTTTTATTAGAAGATTTATTTATTTATTCATACAGAACTGGGGTACAAGCCAGAGGTGCAAGGACTGTGAGAGGCTTCACCAAAGACAAAGTGGGGAGCAGAACAGGAAGACTGATGAAGTACACTGCTGAAGGGAGCAGCGGGCGGGTCAGGAGAGGTCTGCCACGCCAGGTGGATCACCTCCGGGGCTGGGGATTGAACTTGCACTGAAGCTGCTAACTTGCAGTGCTGAGTCCTAACCCACTGTGCCACCAGGCAGGGCCCCAAATTCTTGCCCACTTATCTTTGTTTATGCTTTTTGTCTATCCTGTGACATGACTACCCATCTTCATTCTTTCCATTTTTCCTATGCTGCTACCTAACTTTCAGGGCCATAGTAATGACTCACCCCTCCCCAGATAGCAAAAAGGTTGGAGAATCATATATTTGGAATTCACTTCTCCCCTACTTCCTGCTCTGTGAACTTATTGAAGTAAATGACTTTGTGTGTCATTTTTATTTCTCTAAGTTGGAATGGTAATAGTAATTATTTCTTTTGAGTTATATAAAGATTAAATAAGATCATTCAAATAAAATACTTAGCACAGTACTAGTAATAGTACATATTGCTGGCATATTGTCACTGACAGATAAAATAACAGCAGTACTAATTATTATGACATAGTTTCACCCTGATCCGACTACTCCAAATTATCTCTTTTCTGTTGACCGTCTCAGAACAAAGCGTATACTCTGTGAAATCTCTACAGTGTTGAGCACAGCATAAATGTTCAATCAAAGCTTAATAATTTTGAAAACATGCCATATACTATTTTAGGAAAATTTGGGGACCAATTTATTTCTGTACATATTTAACTGTAGTTCATGGAATGAATCAGCCACTCTCCCTTAATGACTTGCTCCCTGACTGGTGGGCTGTGTATTGATGCTAACCTAGGCTGTAATTTTACACACGATGATACCGTACTCCTGCCTATAACTGTGTCTGAAGTATTGCTTGATAAACCTTGCCAACTTTAAATGCCATTTAAGTAAAATTCAGCCGTATATTGAAATATCATAAGAGCATTAAATTTTTTTAAATATACCTGTAAACATATATCTTCAAAATAAGCCAGTTGAAACTTATGCCTTAAGTCCAGACTTTATTCATCAGACATTTATTTTTCATGCTATTGGTGGAATCTTTTGGTTGGAAGTTAGATCATTGCAAAAATTAATTTATTCCAAAGAACACTTACCCAGTGGGCTTTCTTATCATAGTTCTAGTGGGAGAGGAATAATGATGCCCTACTTCCCTGGAGAATCTATTGGGTGGCCCAAAAGCATGAGAATTTACTTTCATGGAGATTGTCTGAATTTGCCTGGAAGTCAGTGAGGGTGCCCAGAGAGAGGCACGTGGGACTGGAAGCTAAAGAGCCATAGCTTGGAATTGCAGAGAACCAGCACCAGGGTTTTTAAGGTCTGGATTCTGAACCTGGCTTATCTCACTATAGACTGAATGTTGCTGGGGGAAATCTCTTTACCTCTCTGGGTGTCAATTTTCATAGCTCTAAAATGAAGGTATCAATATTCGATTTGCTTTAGTCATTGCAGTGATGTGAGACTCTAGTGTGGTAGTAAATGGGAAAGCCTTTTATAAAATGTCAAGAATTATACAATGTGAATTGCCGTTACTGATTCTGTAATGAAGAGACAGAAACACAAGATGCATAGTTGGCATCCTGAACATGTAGGAACTTGCTGGTGAATGGACTGTTAAAATTGGTGTGAATGGTAAAGAATAGAAATGTTCTTATTTAAGAGGTAGCAAAGGAAATGTGAAGTAATCATAATTTACAGCCAGAGTTTAAACCCCTGTGCAATAACCCCTGGAATCTATTGGTACCTAGAGATTTACTTAGGAAATAAAGCACTTTCTGAGAGCTAAACTTGACCTAGGTATATGAATCAAATTCTATCAAATGGGGGTTGAGGAAGGCATGCAGATATCAGTGATTGAAGGCAAATTGGAAGGAGGGACTGCTGGGTCAGACCAAAGGAGAGAGTCTGAGAGTGTAGGATTGTAGATTGCAGAAACATATGACGTCAGTTTGAACTCTTCTTTCCCTGTGTCCCTTGAGTCTAGCTCCCCTGTGGCAGAAGAAAGAGCTTGATCTATAATGAGCCAAGCAATACTCCTTGGGGCCATTTTAGAGACAGAACTCAGAGGAGAGTGAGTTAGGCCTGGGCAGAGCAGTGGTGGGTAGTGTGCTGCAGGATTGTGGCAGATACACAGGTATCTTGGAGTCTCTATGGCCTAGTGGCTGCTGGGAACGGTTCCAGAGCTCACATGACAAATGTTCCTCAGAGGAACTCCTACTAATACCAAAGGAAGAAGGGATTCTTGGAAGGAAATCTTATGCATTTGTAACCATATTGTGTACATAGAATTTATCTGAATAATCATGTTTCTTTCTTTAATGTTCTACTTTTGAATGAGTGTAGGTACTCCTGGCCATTTTCTTTTTGTCCTAACAAGCTTACTCTTGCTCATTTTAACCAAATTTCATGTGTGTTTAAATTTGTTATATGTCTATTCAGAGAAAGTGAGATGTCAGAGGGAGGTCAGATACATAACAGATATACACACGAAAATACACCAGCAGATGGACACACAGTGATTTGCTTCTGAAATGGCTGTGATTAAACACACTATGATCAGTAGTTAGAATGAGTCCAGAAATCTCAGGTTTTTTTTTTACTCTAAAACTTTAAATGTGCCATGGTAGATTTCTTAAGGGTTAATGTAGCGAATATCCTTTCCTTTTGAGTTTCTCTTTTTAACTTCATTCTTCTTCTCCAGTATAGGGAGTTCCTTGTAAGAATTGTGACATAGCTGTGTGCAATTTTCATTTTTTTTCTATCTCACACTGTAAATAGACACTGATTTCATTTTTCCCTCACGTATAAAGAAATAGTGCATCTGATTTCACAGGCTTGAAAGAAATATTGGAAAGCATCCAGTCAGGCCCTGGGGAACCCCCTAAAATTATCCTCTACCTTATGGACAGTCCAGATTGTTTATATGTATGGCTGGGTAAGATGGGGGCAGGGAAGAGGGATTTGGGAAATAATTTTCTCTTGCCCAGATGCTGTCAGTGAGTCAAATAACTGGGTGAGTACCCTGGTGCCTACTGTGATTTGCGGGAGTCCATTTGCTCAGTGCCAGGCTTGAATGTCCAAGCAGCTGGGCAGACCTTCTGGGTTCCTTGCTAATGCAGCTTCCTTTATCTTCAGGTCACATAGACATCCCTTATGTGCAAATAGTCCCTGGATAAACAGAGCAACTTCTTCAGGCTTTACTTGGATTGGATCTTTGATTTGAAATTGCTGAAGATTAGTGTGACGAAGAAGTGTGCCCTTACTTAGCAGAATTAATGGATATTAGACAATAATAACATTTCTGTAGAATTTGCAAAACACCTTTTATACATACTTTTGTTAGAAGTGGGGCAACCATAGAACAATATTTTTACTTTACTTACAAGTGAAATAGAAATAGGGAATTAAAAATATCGGGGCCTCCTTGGAGGCACAAGGGGTTAAAGTACAACACTATGAATTTATCTGCAGCCACTGCAGCACTAGTTGATCCCCAGCCAGGGAGGTGACCCACATGGCACAGCAGACCCATCCTGAGCTGCCTACTGCCCTCCTCAGCAGTTATTTCGGTAGATCTCCCCACTCTGTCTCTGTTGAATCCTCTCACAACCCCCTTACCTCTGGCTTGTAGCCCCGCTCATGTGTGCATAAATAAACAAATCTTTAAAACAAAAAGAAATACTAGTTATTGGAAAATAGTTTGGG